CCCTAGTGATATACAAACAAACAGCCAGAAGATTTCCTTTAATTTAAAAGTAGACTTAAGGCTGTATTTGAGTAACTATCTCTGAGACAAAATAGACATATTATATTAAAAGGTTACTATCACCTTCCTACATTAGACTGATGCTCTCAGGAATATATCTATATATTTTGGTTTCACCAAATTTTAAATGTGTTTCAGTGAGTGTTTTTTTATTTGGGGTTTGTTTGAGGTTGGGTTTTTTTTGTGGTCTGCCTCAAAGGAATAAATTCCAAGACATTATAAAAGTAAGGCTGATGTCTTTTATGGTAAGTGCTGTTGAAAAAGTAATGATGAAGACCATCTATCTGTAGGTCTTAAGTACTACAGATATCTATGGTTGTGGTATCATCTGAATTAATCTATAAGGTAAATACACCTCCATAATAACATTATGTACATAAAAAGTAGATATTAATTTAAAATTTCTTGTATCAGGTCTGGTGAAGGGGAGTTTGTTTGTTTGTCTGTTTCTTATATATATATACCTTAACATCGTTCTTGCAAGCAAGCCTGCACAGGAAATTTGATTATTGCCTGTACTCCACCTCTGGAGCACTCTGATCTGCAGCTCAGGTTACTCCTTCTGGTGAGGTAAGATCAGCAGGTAACATGGGATGGCTTTTGCAGAGGGGAGGATAGGATTAATAGATAATATATAACACAAGGAGAAGAGAAGGCCAACCGCATCCTGGGATGTATCAAGAGAAGCGTGGCCAGCAGGTCAAGAGAGGTGATTCTCCCCCTATACTCTGCTCTTGTGAGACCCCCACCTCGAATACTGCGTCCAGTTCTAGTGCCCCCACCGTAAGAGGGACGTGGATCTGTTGGAGCATGTTCAGAGGAGGGCCACAAGGATGATCCAGGGGCTGGAGCACCTCTGCTATGAGGACAGGCTGCGGGAGCTGGGATTGTTCAGTCTTGAAAAGAGAAGACTTCGGGGGGACCTAATAACTGCCTTCCAATACCTGAAGGGAACCTACAGGGCAGCTGGGGAGGGATTTTTTACAAGAGTGTCCAGTGATAGGACAAGGGGAAATGGGTTTAAGTTGAAGGAGAATAGATTTAGACTGGACCTTAGGAAGAAATTCTTCAATATGAGGGTGGCAAGACTTTGGAATAAATTGCCCAGAGATGATGTGACTGCCCCCTCCCTGGAGGTGTTCAAGGCCAAGTTAGACAGAGCCTTGAGTAGCCTGATCTAGTTGAGAGGCGTCCCTGCCCATGACAGGGAGGTTGGACTAGATGATCTCTAAGGTCCCTTCCAGCCTAGGCCATTCTATGATTCTATGAAATTTTAGGTCTAAGGATGAATGGAGAAGCCGGAACATAAGGAAGCAGTACCCACTGCTGGGCCCACCACACAGGCCCTGTAACTTCCCCTTGGATGCTCTTACCACAGAGTGTGTTGCTGTGTTAGTGGTAAAGTCCACTCATGTGGCCATGGGCTTTGTCTGGTGACCTTTACTCACAACCACAAGTAAGAGAAGTGAAGTATCAATTTCAAATCTTTTTTACAGCCCTGTCATGGTTTTTTTTCTGGAGGACACTGGAGCCAGAGACATCCTCCCTTGAGGAGGATCCATCTCGTCCAGACCTATATCCCATCTAAAAGAAAACTCATTCTTCTTCCCCTTAGGACATTTGCCCTAAAAAAATAGTGAGTGAATCCTTCCTTTCAGTGATGTTTTACATGACTGAAGGATAGTGACATCCCCATGTTACCTGTCGGTTTTCTCACCTGCACGGCTCTGTGCCACTTCTGAGTTTGTTCCAGTGAAGGTACTGGTGCCTTTTCCTCACTGGCTTGTCAGTTGCTTCCTCAGTGAGTCCCATCAGGACTAAGGAACTTCATATTTTTGGTAGTTTAGTTATGGGCTGACATTTCTTCTTGTAGTCATCTCAAATAATCCAGTTGATACTTATCAGCTTTCTACAGTTATCCTGAAGCAAATGCTACAGCCTAGCTGAAAAATACAGTGTTCTTTTTTGAAACTTGACAACAATTACATATTAGACCTAAATATACTATCTAACGCTATCTTTTGTGTCTTTTCCATGACTGGCTGCTGTTACAATGTCTAAGAACACAGTCATGCTGTGAAACTGGTAGAGTACTTATTAAGATTCAAGACTGACACCGACACCACTTAAGTCCAACTGAGATCACATGAACCCTCCCCTCACTGCCCTCAGGTCAGGAAACCAACCGGACAGGATTCCAGCTGAAAATAACTTCTTAGAGGACTGCTGTTGTCCTTAAAGTCTTAAAAAAACTTCAGCAACTTATTTGCCCACACAGTTAAGAGGGAAAATAGCGTAAAAGCTGTAAAATAAATTAAAATATTTTAAGGGTTTTTTTAATTGAAAAAAATATTAAAGAATATTTTTTGGTATTAATTTAAAAAAATATTCTCAGCTCTTTAAAAGTTAACTGGATTGTTGAAGTCCTTTTGTTACCATAAGGCAAAAGGCTCAAACTTGAAAAAATGAAAGAATCCAGCAGAATCTATCTAGTAAGGCATATCCTTGGTTTATGTTATTTACCATTTAGTATATAAAAAAGTCCTTTTTTAAAAAATAAATATTGAAAAAAAACATGTAAAGCAATCATTATGTCACTAATTTATCTTAATTCTTTATTGTGCTTTGAGAAAATATGCTTTTGCTTTCAGACTAGTAATTCTTATCTGTATGCTTGCCCAGATCAGTGTTGATAGGGTCTGCCTTTCTAAATGGCAGAGCAGGAGGAGTTTTTCCTGCACAATAAAGTGCCACAGAAACACAGAACCAGTCAATGTACTACATGTAATCTGCCACAAGGATGTAAAATGTGAAAAATGAAGATGTTTATTCACATCTCTTTCTCTTAGACACCTAAAGTGAAATCTCTCATGTCATACAAATGGCTGATATCTCTTACTGGAAGAACTCAAATTCTCCTCCTTGACTATAGAAAGCAAAAGAGAGTTTAGACTCCCAAACTGGACACTTCTTTCAGTGATGGAAAAAAAAGAAAAGATCCCTACCATTACTCACTCTTTTATGTTCCAAACTAAAATTTCTGCCGTAGTTCAATTATGAGCTTTGTGCCTTTTATTTCACAGGATCACAAGTTTTCTCCATATACCTTGTGCCCTAGCCAATGCCTTTCAGCATCCTTATTTTTCAAATGAGCCTTACTGCTCGTTACCTCAATTACAGCCTAATATATATATGTATACACATAAAAAAACCCCCACTACATAGTTCTTGGCATTTATCCTCAGGATTATTTGACAGAATATCTTCTTTCAAGAAAATAAAGAGTACCATTGAACATATTGCTGAAATTACTATACAAAGTAGGTAAAACCAATATTTATTTCATTTAATCTAAAAGTATTTTCAATGTCTAAAGCTAAACTTGTAATTTCAACTCCCTCTACAGTTAGTCAAGAGCAAGACATCTCTCACTGGTGTATTTTAAATGAGTTACATTCAGAACAAGCCTGATTCTCTGCATTGGCTGTTGAGGGAATCTTCATTGCTAGGTTAATGTTTAAGTGTCCATGGTTAGGTTAGATAAATCTCATTCATAGAAACTTGATGAAAGAACAACTTGATTATTTGAAACCTTTGTGAGGCAAAATGATTAGGAAGTGTTCTCAGATTTGTGCTAGTCTCTGTTGAACATTGATTGTTTTTAAAAAGCCTTTAGGTTTCTGTCTCAGTAGTGGAGGCAAAGAGAAAAAGTGACCATTGAAAAATTATGCTATTTAGTAGAAAGATTCTGTAATAAATAGAGAAGATGGAAAAATTTTGAATCGAACTGACACATTTCTTTAACATACTCTCAAAAGTCTGTAGCCAATTTTGTCTTGCTCTCACTCGGGGTTTAAGGTACCTTAAGCATACAAAGCCCAGCCAAAACTCACAAAATTACTTCAAAGAAAACGAACATTTGCATTTTTTCTCACATAAAAGAAAGGCTACAGAGATAGCAAATGACACCTTTGTTTGCTTAGTGCTCTTTTGTAACCATTGCTTGTCTGAGAAAAAGCAGCTGAAAGTGATAAATTCCTAGATGTAGGTGAGGTGAAGGACAATTTCATTTTTGCTTGAGTGTAACTTAAGCCAGACACCGATTTTATCAGTGTATGAAAGGCTTTTTTTATTCCCCTTGAAACCTACAAGGTCATGGAGGTTTAGTAGGAGGTTTTAGGTCTTTCTAATGGCTATTTCAACAAAAGACAAGCAAACACCAAAAAGACAGCTAGCCAGGTGCTGCATGGCCTGCAGCCAGGCTGATTTGGCTCCTCTCAATGCTCTTATGACCTGAAGGCTGCAGGCAGTTATCCCAAGGCCAAAAACCAAAGGTGCCAATTGCAGCACCTGACATATGTCACTGCCACTCCTTGGCTGGCACTTGGAGCCCTCCTCAGAGCTCTTCAGCCCTAACGTAACCCAGCCTGTGTTTGTTCTGGGGTGAGCTCTGTGGTGTTGCCATCCCTTTTTTACCCAAAGAAACTAGGCAGGGAAAGGGGAGGTGATAGAAATGCAGGAGAAAAATCTTGATAATGTGACTCTGTAAAACCAGTACTGTAGCAACTCAGCTTTTTTGGAGGGTGGGTATATGTTGCAGGCAGCGCAGATTTGGACATTCTGTGGTCAGATTGATTCCTCTTAAATATCTGCTGCTGCTCCCCAGATCTCACAGGGAGGACAGAGCATTCATTACTCACATTTTGCTAATCTGGCAACTCCCTGTCAGGATCATTGGAATGAGGCAAGGGAAATAGAAACCTCTGCTTCTGAGTCACCCTTTTTTTGCCCAGCCCACACCTTTCAGGATAAAAGCCCTGTAGCCACAAACACCTGGGTCACAAAATTACACAATGCGACCCGACGTGGACATACATGCTCTTCTTACAGTAGCTCTTACCCTGAGTGCAGTGACTGCCTCAGCACAGAGTGAAGAGAATGCCGCCGGAGAAGATGTCTATCCCCCTTTGTGGGACCTTGCCCCTGAAAACTTGCTGGATTTCCAAGTAAAGAACGGCAGAATTGTCATCAATGCTTGGAACTATCTGGAACGACTGGGAGTGTATAAGAACTTGCTAAACTCTTCAGTCAAGTATTTCACCACCTTTGGAGCTCAAAATTTTGGAAATATTCTCTGGGGATTACCATTGCAGCATGGGTGGCAGTTTCGTACAGGTATGAGTTATGTCCTTAAGCTGCTGAAATGGCAAAATGTTTGCCAGACTCACTTTGGGTTATGCATTCCAAGGTTTCTGCCTTGCGAGCCCAGTATAGCCTCAGACAGTGTGAATTTTGACATACTGAGCTAAGCTGCCAATTTGAAAAATAAATCCTGAATGAAGAAGGGAACACCCTTGCTTTGTTGAGCAATAGCTATTAACTTCCTAATAGGAAAAGGTACTGCTACACATAGGACTGGTCAGAATCCAGAAGATCTGTGGTTTAGATGGGTAATATTTCAGTTAGCCAAGATTTTTTTTAAAAGATATTCCCAGTTGCTGCATTTTATGGTAGGTAGATTTCAGGGTCTGCACTCCTCTCTGTTAAACTCTTGAATTGTTAACTATTAAGCTTTTTTTGGTTGTTAATGTTATGTTCCTGAGATTTATTTATCTATAGATTTTATTTATCTGTATTAGTATAGGTAGTTGAAAGTCTACCTCTCCTGAGAATTTGTTTCTATTTGCTGTTTTTGATCAGCTTAGGAGTGGCCTCATTATATTCTAAATCTGCTTTTTACAGAAATGAAAGTTTGTTCCGTTTGTTGATTTGTTTTTGCTGTTTTTTTGGCTTTGTTTTGTTTTTTTGAATTATGTCCAAATTCTTACGACTTATCCCCAAAAGCTGGGTGTTACCTGAGGCAGTTACTCATGCTTGCTTCTTGGCCATGCCAGGGAAGGAGACGCAGAAACACCTGTGGAAGGTCCCTTGAGGCTAAGGCTGCAATATCTTATTGAGGGCTTTATCAAAGAATCTATTCTCCCACATGCTGCTTCACATGGAACAGGCAGTGAAGCTTTCAATTCAAAGCCAGAGTTGACTTGCCTAGTTCTAGCAATCAGGAAAGGTGGGAAGAAGGGAATAAGAGTCAATGATGCTTTCAAGAACTTGTGCCTGGTGGTAACCAGGCATAAGTGAAGGCATCTGTCTGCATGTTATTCTCTTTATTGGTTGCAATCTGGGTTTTGTGAGGTGGTTGTTTGGCTGAAGTTGTATATTTGGAAGACGACTGAGGTGCTGCAGCTGTTGGTGAAGGAAGGCTGCCAGCATTTCGTCACACTTAATGGACAATTAATTGCTAAGTCAAAATGAGAAAAAGGAGGCAAAATAAGCAAAATCCAAGAAGGCAAATGGCTGGCAACCATACAGCAGCAAGAATTTGGTTGGAACTTGACTTTTTCCTCTTTCCTTTCTTTATATATGGGAAAAGAAAGGAAGAAGAACAGCAGGTCAAGGGAGGTGATTATGCCTCTCTACTCCACTCTGGTGAGACCTCATCTGCAGTACTGTGTTCAGCTCTGGAGCCCCTCAGCAAGGGAAAGACATGGGTCTGTTGGAGCAGTTCCAGAGGAGGGCCACAAAAATGATCAGAGGGCTGGAACACCTCTCCTACGAGGAAAGGCTGGGAGTGCTGAGGAGCCTGGAGAAGAGAAAGCTCTGAGGAGAGCTCATGAGCTCTGAACTCATGTCCTTATTAATACTCGAAGGAGGCCTGTAAGAAAGATAAGGGCGATCGCCTTAGCAGGACCTATTGTGATAGGACAACGGGTGATGGTTTTAAACTAAGAGGGTAGACTTTGACTGGATATAATCATAGAATCATAGAATGGCCCAGGCTGGAAGGGACCTTAGAGATCATTTTAATCCAGCCTCCCTGTTGCCAGGGATGCCACCTCTCGACTAAATCAGGCAACACATGGGGACCGAACAGGAAGGAAGAAATTTTTTACAGTGAGGGTGGTGAAACACTGGGACAGGTTGCCCAGAGAGGTGGTGGAAGCCCCATCCTTGGAAATATTCAGTCAGGTTGGATGACGGTCTGAGCACCCTGATCTAGCTAAAGATGTCACTGCTCACTGCAAGGGGGTTGGACTAGATGACCTTAAAAGGTCCATTCTAACCTAAGACATTCTATGATTTTATGAAGAGGATGGTTGGTGCAGCAGAAGAGTTGGCCCAATGTGTGGCAGAGGCAAAGATGACTAGATGCAGAACCTGCACTTGAGTGGTGACCTGCTAGAAGGGATCTAGTTATGTAGTGTGGCCTCATCCACAAAGTGAAGATGTGCCTGGCTGCAGTTATATTTCCCAAATAGAGGGGACACATTTAGTAAGAGAAAGATTTTCACCTGGTTGCACTGACAGATAAAGCACTACTATCACCTGCCAAAGTGTCATTGGACTGGCCCTTAGACGAGGAGATATATTTTTAAAATTACAGTATCAGAAGCTTAAAAGAATTGTAGAAGGAGAAATAGCACATGGCTGCAAAGAGTTTTACAGTAAAAAATGTGAGAAGCTGAAGGACATTTTTGTACATACAGTAGTGAGTAGTGGCTAAATACAATCCAGATAGCCAGCTGGGCTAGATTAATGAGGAATGACTGAAGTGTTTGTATATCTACATAATAAGCTTGGGTGAATAAAAGCAGGAGTTGAGTTCATGGTGCAAGACAGCAGATCCTTTAAAACACTACAAACATTATTGAATTAACAATTCTGTCTGGTCTGGAAAGTTATGTTGCTGAGAAAATGTTCATATGGACATGGTCCTATACAAAGAGCAAGTGAGGCTGCTACTTAGTAAGCGTAGTACAAAGATTTGCAATAATCTACTCATGGACATAAAATGAAATCAGTAATTTGCCTAAATTTACAGTAGAGACAATGATACTGGGACAGCACAGCTGAGAGGAATAAGATCGTGAAAAGAGAAATTGCTACGTGGGAGATAGAGCTGAATAGAGAGTCCTACCTACACACACTGAGGAAACTGGATATTTTCTACCCCCACTTGGATTAATTGACATACAGAAGTACAAGTCCAGGAGCTAGAGCTTTAAGAAAGACTCAGGTGGTATTAGCATGTCCAAAGAATAGGTAAGATTCTACCTATATTTACAAAGAAGAAAAATGGGCTAAGGACACAGAAATATTTATTTCTCTTATGTCAGCAGTAGATGAATAAGTATAGAGAAAAGAATATTTAAAGACAGGGAGCTAGACAGGAAAAGGGATAAAACGCAGATCATGAATCAAAGGTAGGTTGTGTCAGACTAACTTGATATCTTGTTGGACTCAATGATCTTAAAGGTCTTTTCTAACCTAAACAATTCTACAATTCTAAGTGGTGTTTTAGCAAAGTCTGGAAATGCATTTCCTCTCTTCATAAAATCAAAGCATAGAATGGAGGTTTTTAATGATGCTTTACAATGTAAGAATGAAACAGAATTGCAAATCTGGTAAAGGAGCACGTGAAGGAGAATTTAGTAATGGGTCCTGCTAAAGGAAGTTTACAGCTAAATGGATGATATGCTCAGAGTTCCTAAATTGTCATCCCTGAGAAAAAATGCATTTAGCTTTTTCATTAACAACCATGTCACAAAAAAAAGCAGAGATCTTGCTGAAGATTTTGCACATATCGTATATGATAATGGCATAAAACTGGGAGGCACCATCAATGTAGAGAAGGTCTGAGACAGCTTGGGTAAACCTTAAGACTGAAATAAAAATCATATTAAGCAGGGAGGACAAGCCTAGAGTGTAGACCTGGCAGTGGGATTAGTTCTTCCAGCTCCCAGTAATTTGTACATATTTTATAATTATCACTGATACTGCCCAGGACTCATCATTTTCCCAAAATCGCTAGTTCTTGGTGAATCTCACAATTCTTCTGCAACAGTCTATCTTCTTTTCCTTCTTTTACTTCACCGTTCCTATTCATTCCCACTGCACACCAGTGAACTACTGCTGCCTGTTTCTGAGTAGGAACTTGGGGAGAGGAGGGGGAATCTGTCTTTAAATATTAAAAAATAGCATTTTTTTCATTAAAAAAATGTTGAACTGCATTACTTACCACTCCAAGTTCATGCTCTGAGTCCTCTGATGGTGGAAGATATAAGCTTGAGCAGATAGCATTCCCCAAAGCATAAGCTCAGTCCAGTCAGCTAGCGAGGATAATTAGGATGATCTGTATGCACATGGTTCACAATCATCTTCTCCTCGAGTAAAAAGTATCAGAAAACTTGGTTTGGTTTTTAAAGAATGTAATGAGGTCTTGTTCTAATCTGACAGAACTGACAGTGTCGTTATTCAGCTGACTTGTCAGGGAGTAAGTGCTCTGCAGGGCAGAGTTTGGGAGCTTCTGGAATAGCTCAAGTTATTGGACTCGATCATGGTAATTTCATGTCATATACTTAAAGCAGGCTTCCTGACTCACTACATGACTAATTACCACATAATGTACATGTACATGATGCTTTCAGGAACTAGGCTGTTTCTCCGTGTCATGTGCTTAAAGCCAAATATGCCTTACACGCTGTCATGAATAATTGTGAAATGTCTTGCACGTTTGCTACAGCACAAATGCTTGAAAACCCTGCTAATCAGGTACAATAATGCTCACATGCGTAGCTTCACAGTAAGGCCATGTTTGTATGCATCATTAAACTGGAAGTGATTCTATATCACACAACCCAATTAGGTGAGACAATTACTAGCACATTTAATTTGTGCTCTTCTGCTCGTTAAGCAGCTCTCCTACATAGGCAGCCCTGCATCTATTGGGAATGATGCATCAGCTATGCATGTGTTTATGCCTGTATGGGCATGTATATTTATATCTCCACTAAAATATCACTGTGATGTCCTACTTTCAGACAGTTCTATAATTTCTCAGAGCACATTTACAGTGAGAAATAAATCGAACTGTAAAACACAATCAAATTACTATGCACTGCGTGAAGTACTGACTGAGAAATTCAGCTACTCTAGGAACAGTAGTTTATGAAGCAAAACAACAGCAATTGTTCTGCTTCTCTGAGCAAAATTCTGCATACTCTAGTCCTATATATTTTGTTCATCTCAGTGGAATTTCTTGTGTGAAAAAGATTGAGAAGTATTTGGCATATTATTTCATTTGATTCAGGCAGATTAGCAGACCCTTCTAGCATGACTTCCTGTGGCTATGAAGATGGAGACCTTTTGTGCATCTCTGTACGAAGCTGGTGGTCCTGTAAGTACATGCTATTGCATTGTATTTCTCCAAAACATGGTTAGTGTCCTAGAAGGCAATTCAGAATCTTTCCTGCCCTTAGACTTCTATATTGGAATGCTATATAATTTCCCATCAAAAAATTGCAGCAAGAACCTAAGTGTGAGTAAATGAGAACTAATTTACTTTGATAACTTATTCAAGGAAGGAAAAAAATGCACATTTGTAGCCTTAAAAATGTTTACACTGCAAAAATGCATGTAAAAATTTGTGGGAAACATCAGGACAGATATTTATATTTGTAGGCATCTATAGAAATTACAGTTTTCAATTACTCCTGAGCAGATTTGTTCAGTTTATACACTAGTACTTCAAACTAAATCTTGCTGTGAGAATATCAAGCAGGAATCTTTGTGGTTCTTGAATCACCCTTGGTAATACAAATCTGACAGGACTTTCCTGCCTTCAGTTGCACCTCCACAACTTTACTGTGGTCAGTAGTCTACAGAGAACGAAATAAAGGGCAACTTTGTACCCATGATATCCAAATAACTTCATTATCTTCATTACATTGACATTTATCCAGCAGGCTTTCAAGTTTTCAGCTCAGACTTAGTTTCTATTCACTTTAATATTGGCTTTGGAGTTCTAGCAGGTTAAAATTAATTATTTTTTTATTATTCCAGTAAGTAGCAACAAACTGAAGACAGTGACACAGAGAGAGAGATGTATAAAGAACCAAATTTCTAGTGCCACTCCCCTTGACATTTTCAGTGTTTCCCTCAATATCTCTATAAATACACATCCAGATACATCAGTCTTCCCGAAAATGGAAACATGCAGAATTCCTGGATACTTTGGATAATTCAATCCATTCACATGTTGCCCTGTTAAACTGGAGGGTCAAATTAATACATGGTTTCTCTTAGCCTGAGACACAATTTTTTTTCATAAAAATATACACCATAGGTTCTGTACAGGAAAACAGGTCTAACCGTTAAACCTAAGAAAACACGCTTTGCAGGAAGCAGTGTCATCTCAGTGATAGTGGTACCAAATTTGGAACCACCTTTGCCCTAGGCAGTGCTGAGAAGAGGCCAAGTGACAAAGTCTTCTGAAGGACGAGCTGTAGGCTAACTCAGCTGTTTGTGCTGTTGACATCACTCCTGCTATATGTGGCAGAGCACTTAATCCTCACGTGGGACTTAAGCATAAGTCCACTACCAGGATCGTGGGAGAAGTAATAATGTGTGAGACAGGATACTATAACCAGGTTTTCACACAGAAAGGAAAAAAAATATACCAATTATGGCTAAGAGCTTTGCAGAAAAGGAAAGGAAGAAATCTGGAATGCCACATGCAACTTAAGGGTATACACTTGTTGCACAGGACAGCCCAATGAATAACACTTGGAGCATCAATAGAAAAAGCACCAATGCTACAATGCACAAGAACATGTGTAGTCTACTTCTTCTGGTATTTTTACAACCAGTGTCTCTATGGAAACAGGTTTCTCAAACAACAATGCATATCTAGATTTCCACGGAGTTCATCTTACAAAACTATTGTCTTCTAAACCTATAAAAAAATAATCTTTAAATTTTCTCCTTTGATTAATCAAAAATATTTAATTCATTTGCCTAGACAAACTGAATAACATATACCAACCGATTTGAATAAAATACTCTAAACAATGTTTGTGTTTCCATTTTTCAAAAGCTGAATGAACACATTTTAAAAAAAAAGAATTCATTTTTTCTCTCGTCTGAGTCAAAGCCAACATTTTTAGAGACTTTTTTTTCCCCTGAAACGGGAACTCTGACTCTTAGAAAATTTACCTGCTATTTTTAGAATTTTAGAGTTCCCTCTTTTCGCTCAAGAGAGAGAACAGTTGGTCTCCAGGATCTTCTTCACTAAAAGTTATTAAAATTTATTTCTACAAAGAGAGCACAATTAAGAGGATAATTTAAAATCCTACTTTCAAATAAGGAATAGAAACAGTGCTACAGGCACTCTCACTGGAAATGTGGTCCATCACAAGTAAGAACTGAACCCAAATTTCCTACATGTTGGATTGGCATACTCCAACTTATGGATCAGACCAAAAGAGTCCATCAGCCTAAAACGCATCTGAACAAACTGAGGTAATTTCTAAGAAATTTTCAATGAGCAAAATCTTTTCTAAAAGTAAATTTATAATTTTCCAGTAAAATATCACTAGTATTTGCCTTTTCCTTTCTTATATGCCTAAGATGCATGTTTTTTTATAATTAAAATAATATTCACAAAGTATTGCTTAGTCTTTCTTTTCTAGTATCTGAAAGATTTTTGATGTCTTGTCCATAATAAGCTATAAATATCTATTTTTTTTCAGTTTGTCCTTTCCTGCAAAATATAGCACCCTCTCAGCTCATGCAAGGCTAATAAAGGAAAACATACATTAAAATTAAAAATATTTTCTGAATCAATACAGATATCACCATTAGTGCATTTCAGTTCTATCAGTGGCAATTTGAAATCGTTGCATTTGGAATGGTAGAGTATTAATTTTTCTATGAGGGTATTTTTAATTTGATTATGGTTAATACCTCCTCGTTTTTAATTATTCCTACAGGTATGAACTACTATCTGTCTGTCATACCCTTTCTGGGGGCAGTGGAGGCTGGCCTCTTCGGGCAGCTGCAATACAACATAGAAATATCGCCACCAGAGGAGCAAAGAGCTGATTTCTGCTACAGTGTTGCCGACTGCCGGTCTCGCGCTCCTGGGCTCATGGATGACTGGAAGGCCTATTTTGAAGTAAATTATTCTACTCTTTTTTTTTCATATTATGTAGGAAATTGTACCAGAATATCACCTTTAGAAACTATTATTACTGCTATTTGTAAAATACAGAGAGCTTGGTTTGCTTTCAATAATAGTATGATATAAAAGTAACAAGCAGAAAAAGTGAAAAGCATAACATAAAATGAGTCAGAAATAAGAAGGTTGGGATTTTTACAGATTACGGGTTTTTTTCTGCCCTTTGAGATAATTCTGCATTTTAGAGTCTGTCCCCAAAGACTGTTCTTTTAACAGCTATATTTGCATTCTTCTTATGCTGCTTATCTTAGCAATGGAAAGTAAGCATGTGAGATAGAACATTACCCTTGAGAAATGGCCCTGAACTGGTTTTGTAGGGTCCATTTCTTCCTTTGAACATCTAGAAAGCTGAAAGTGATGAAACTTCATGTAGAAGGACACTTACTTATGCAAGTTGATATTCTCTTTCCTTCTCATTCGGCTCTTCTGTAATCCCAAAGATGACAATAATTGTTACTTCACAAATTCAATAACTATTTTTATAGATAGACTTCTACATTCAGCATTTTTGTTGATAGTTAAACAACTGATAATGATCAGAAAACTTAAACCATAAGTCCATCTTGGTAACTGTGAGTGAAGGCAGAGGTTTTAGGAGCAAGACTGGATTTGATTTCTTGAGGTATTTTTCCTAAGCAGAATGTTTCAAAAGTTATTATAAAAGATCTGCTTCTCAAATAGCCATAATTATAACCATTAAGGATCATTTTCCTGTTTGCTGAAAATCTTCGGAAAGTTGTGGCCAAAAGAGTGTAAACAGGTTTTAAGGAATCCAGTATTTCAGCACAGAAGTTTCCATAGCATGAAAATCCACTGAATTATTATGACATGAAAGTCCACTGGATTATTATGGAAGTCCACCGAATTATTATGACAGAATGCCTAGATTATGTGGGCAAAACCCTTGCCCTGCTGGAATTAAAGAACAGCAACTCCCAGTAACTTCAGTGGGGATATGTATTCACTATATAAATCTGTATTAATCGTCTTTCTGTCCCTGTGTCGGACATGATAGTCACAAAGCAGCACATTCGAACTACTCGAAAGCAATTTCCCTTAGCTTGCAGATTTACTATTTTGAGAGGTATGTACATAAGTTTTAAGGAAAAATCATTGGGTTTAATCCTCTCCCTCTGTTTCTCTGCCTTTTTTCTTACCTGTTGCTTCAGTATCTGTTATCTACAGAACACAAAACTATGAACTCTGCAACCTTCTCCTCCTTTGAACTGGACCATGCCCTCGGTCTCATGTGGAGGGCTCACGTTGCCTCCATTGCTTACGCGCTGCCCAAGTTCCAGGACAGGTATGGGGACAATAGTGGTGGCCAGAGGGGATCTTCCCACTCAGGTGACTCTTTGGATGGATAGTATCTCAATAAAGTCTGCAAGAACTTTCTTACTTTAGGCCTCTACTCTTTAGCCTCTGCTCTTCCTTCTGCTCTCAGAGCATGGGGTGACCAGCAAGAGATGGCTGCCCAGGATGCAGTGGGTGGGCAGGCTGTGGACTTAAAAGATGATGCTGATTTCTCTCTAGGAGCTGGGTTTAGCCTGGGCAGAAGCAGTGTTGACAGGAGAAAATAGATGTAAATTGCTGAAGCAGTTTTCAGGTAACTGTGACGCTGAGATCACTGAACAAAACACATTTGGGATAAATGATCAACCAACGTATTATATGAGGTATTTCAATTATATATTACATTTTAATTTTGATCTCTTTCAGATTAAAACATCTCTCCGATACAGAAGCAAATTTTGGTGAAGACTGGGCTAATGGTGTAGATTTCATTGCAGCCACACACTTCCGTACAGATTTGCCGACCACAAACATCTTCCAGACTTTCCTGCCCCAGAGGATGCTCGTTGAAGGGGATGTCCTTCCATCCATTAGTGACTTCAGTCCACAGCAAAATAGAGTCCTGCTTTCACTGAGAGCTCTTCACAAAACAAATAGGTTAACAGGTATGAGGCTGACCTACAAATGTCTGTGGCACATAGATATTTAATGTCTTGTTCTCTCTTTCTGCATCTTTCTCTGTAAGAATAGAGTGATTTTTTTATGTAAAATAGTAAAAACACTTCCTAGAGACTAAAAGTAAAACAGTACAGCTAAAAATACAACCATAAGTAAACAACACACCAGAGAGCAAATGCAGAGATGGGATGCAGAAAATATGCGGTGAGGATTTCATATGACACAAATACATCGTTTGTTGGTGCACATGCTCTAACTTGTTTCTCTCCAGTTTTCACAAAAAAACCCCTGCTTAAAACACAGACACTAATTTATATTTCAGCAGGTAAATCTGAAAGTATTAAAGCTGCAGACAAGTTGTTAGATCAGTTGAGGTCATTACAAAAGCACGGGCAATTGATCATGAACATCAGCTTGTGTGCTCACAAGTGTCCTGGGTATGGGATTTTGTTTCAGGTTGGACCTTTTTTGGTCTCAGTCGTTGGTCTAGCAGAGAATATTATCTGTCCCAGCAAAGCTGTATCCTTAGATAAAGCTGACTTCGTCAAGTTCACTAAAATAAGTTGTGCATCACCATCCAGCGGTAAGACATAGAATTACATTCTTCAGAGGCTTCACTGAAGGAATTGCTACACTGGATATTTTTTTTTATCTGCCAAGTTTTTTCATGAAGGAAAGCTATTATGAATCTTTAAACGAAAAGACAATACAAAAATACACTGAAAAACTAGTGTCCAGAGATACGGCATTTGTTCTGTGCCACAAAGGAGCATCCTCACATCAGAGAGTGCTTCCCTCACACCTTCCACATAGCATTATTCCTCAAAATCTGAATCAGGATCTTAACAGCTCCATCCCATGCCTAGTGGTCTGCGCAGGGTTTCTTGACCTACCCCCCGGAGGGGAGGGGGATGCATCAAGGAAGGCGGGATGGACAGGGCAACAGGGGAGTAGAGCACCAGGGCCTCACTGGAGGGAGAAAGAAGAGGCATGGGTGCTGAAGATGGTAGAGGGAGGAAACAGAGGGACCAAAAACTTTCATGCAGGTGCAGCCATAATGACGTCTGTAGCTGAAATCCTTTGCTTTGCAGGAGGGAGATTTCCCTGACTCTGCTTTGATGGGGTGGGTTTTGAATTCAGCTGAGAGTTAAATGCCATGGCTAAGTCAACCTCGTGACTGATTTGCAGATCAGAAAAGGAGTTCCAGACTAAATTTGACATGAGTCTGGATCCACAGCCTCAGTGGGGACCTGAAACACTAGATCTTATTACTACAAAACTCAGATGACAAAATGTGACATACTGTTTTTGTACAATACGATTCATCAAACTTTTAAATACATCCTATGAGATGCTGCTGTATTTTAACACCAGCTGGCAGCTAAGCAGCTTGTTCACTCCTTCACCCTCCCGGTGGGATGGGGAAGAGAATCAAAAAAAAAAGAAGTAAAATTCATGGGTAGACATAAGAACAATTTAGTAACTAAAATAAGATAAAATAATATACTATTATTATTGATAATATTAACGAAAATGAATATGGCAAAAAAGAGAAATAACACCCAAGAAAAGACAAGTGATGCACAACTGAATTTCTCATCACCTGCTGATCGATGCCCGAGCAGTGATCCACTCCTCCTGGCTAAATCTCCCTAGTTCATACACTGAGGGTGACATCCTATGGTATGGAATATCCCTTTGGCTGACTCAGGTCAGCTGTCCTGGCCATGCTCCCTTCCAGCTTCTTGTGCTCCTGCTTGCTGGCAGAGCAGGGGAAACTGAAAAAACCTTAACTTAGGATAAGAACTACCTAGGAACAACTAAAACATCGATGTGTTTTCAACTCTGTTCTCATACTAAATCTAAGACACAGCACTGCACCAGAAACTAGAAAGAAAATTAACTCTATCCCTGCTGAAACTGGGACAGATGTGAAGTCCTCTTCTGGTGTTGTAAACTTCAACAGCAGGTAGCAGGTGACAATACCTCTTAAGATAGGTCCCTGTTCAAACCAGAGTGAGATCTGATTTCTTGATTCAGAATCTGATTGCTCTTTATCTTCCTTTAGCTGCCTCTGCCAGTCCAGAGAATCACAGAATCACAGAATTATTGAGGCTGGAAAAGAACTCTGAGATCATAAAGTCCAGCCTATGTCCCAACACCACCACATTGGCCAGACCAGGGCACTAAGTGCCACATCCAGCCTCTCCTTAAACACCTCCATGGACGGTGACTTCATCACTTCCCTGGGCAGTGCATCCCAATGCTGGTCCAACAGGGACCTGTATGGAAAGAATGCTGTGCTACCTCTAAACCTTCTTGACTCATAGAAACTTTACTTTTACGCCCTGTCCCTCACTGACATCCAAAGGCAGAACAGCAAATGCCTTGTTCTTCAAGACCTTTCCTACTGTCCTCAGCTTTCCTGCAGCCCTCCTGAAGCCCTTTCAAGCAAGAGGATCATTTGCTGCCTTCTCCTCTTAACTCCTCATCTCCCCAGTTTGATACTGTGCAAATTCAGTTCTTCACTGTTGCCAACATTATACAAAGGCATGTTTTGCAGGGGAAGAGAGTCCTCTTTGTTTTCCAGCAGCCTTTTTTTTACCCTCAGATTTTCTCTGTGAACTCTTTATTTACCACAGAGTTCAGCACTAAGAGGAGTGGAGAGCAGGCAACGACTTCTGCAAACTGGTGCTACTGTTGGACTGCTCGGGCACACTTGCTTATTGCTTGGATGAAAATATTAGGATCATTTACTTCTTTAGCTCAAGGCCTTAGCTGGCAGAAAGTGCAAATTTTTCATTGCTTTAGAGTAAAAACAAAGACATGCGTGATTATAACTGCCAGGCTACTGCTTTATAAGCCGAGAAGCTATGTGCAGTTGCAGACCAAGAGTTTAAACAGGCATCTTCAATCATTTTGACTTGCAACACCGGTGACAAGGGAACAAGCCTGGTTGTCTGTCAATACAAAGGATTCTGAGCTGAATGAATGGCTTGTGTCTCCCTACATATTTGTAGGCAATTATTTCACCATCGGCATGCTCCATCTTTGTCTACATTTCACTGTCCATAGGAGAGTGCTGGGTGTTTTGTTGCCAGACATGCACTTTGTCCCTTGTGTGCCACGAGCTGTGTGTGTTCCATGTTAATTTGACGATGTCATGTTGTGTTTCTCTCCAAGGGGGATTGCTGCTGAAGCTCTGGCAAAAGGCTATGTCTACTGAAGCAGGGAGAAAAATGGGTCGAAAACTGATTGAAGACTTGGCTTCGAGCCAGGAGTTTGATCCAGCGGGAATGCATAATGGTTTTGGAAGGAGAGGATTTGACAGCACTCAGTTTGTTGAGAAGAAGCAGTCCCAAGATTGATTGATTTAATCTTTTCGCAGATATGTGTCTGTTAATCCGGTTTTTGTAATTTCTTACAGCAGGATTTCCTGAGTAGCCATGTGTGTATCTCTCTCATGTTGAATCTGTATTTTAATCCTTAATTTTCCAAATTAACTCATTTGTTTAACTCATTTTCTTATAAATAAAATGCCTCACAGAAAATCTTACTTTATTACTTTTTTTGACTTTATAAGCAATGTATCATTATTGGAGACAAAATTAAATATAAGCAAATTATATTTTGTTTCAGACTGGTTTTTTTTTTCCCTATATACAGGGGTGCCAGAAGATATGTAATAACTCAGGTCCTTGATGGTCTAAAAGATGATTATCAGAAACTTTTCTTTGAAGTTCTGATCTAAAACCAGACCAGCTACAATCAAATTTGAAGCTTTCAGGCTTATCAGATTAAATACTTGAATACAGATGGATTCCCTCAGTATGTGGAGCCAGTCCTGAGAAGTTCTGAAGCAAATGACCTTATTCTGTAGCAGCTCTTACATGGTCAGCAGAGATTTATGGTATTTGATTTAACTCACCTCAAAAAACACATTGATGTATCTCTGGATTTATGTGATTACATAGTCTGTATAGAAACAGGTTGTTTTTCCATTCCATCATATCTAACCCTTCTCGTTACAGCATGTCATATGATAGATTTGATTATTGAGGAAGAAATGCATTCTCACTGTCTACATTCCCAGCACCTAGCACACTCAGACCTTAGTGCCAATCTCAGTCTTCTGTGTGATAACATATATTGGAGATTCCAACTGGACACAAGAGGGAAATTTTTCATGATGAGAACTAATCAGCCACTGGAATAATCTCCCCAGGGAAGAGGTGGGTTCCCCTACATTGGATATTTCTAAGATTCAACTGGACGGAGTGCTGGACCATCTTAACTAGGCCATGCTTTCACTGAGACAGGTTGGACCAGATGATCCTTGAGGTGCCTTCCCGCCTGGTATTCTGTGATTCTGTATTGGGAATTAATTGTAAGAACTTGTCATCAGAGGTTATGGGGAAGTGGGACAACGAGGGTTGAATTTTCTTAGAAAATGTGGTGACTTGGATCCTGCATCCTTATGAAAACTTCCCCTAGAGAGCAGGCATGGCTGGAGCTCCCTTTCCATGGTGGAGAACCATCCATGGTGGATGGCCACCGTCTGCTGCATCCTATTAATTTATAGTCTACACTACAGCATAGCTGAAAATAACACAAGTCTTAGAATCTTAAGTCAAAATAAAGCAAAGCAGCTTTGCTTTGCCACCTTTTTAAGTCTGCCCCACAGATTCAATTGCACCTAGCATCTCAGCTGGTAACTCTGTCCCACACCCTTTGCTCAGAGGAAAAAGGCCGGTACCACTCGCTCTTCTGCTGGAGCACACCATTTCACTCTGTTTGCTCACATACCTCATTTCATTTGTAGCCATTGTAGCGATAGCCTTCCTGACACACGTCTAACAGCCAAAGGTTTTCCACAGATGTTAGGGGTGAGATTTGGGCTTCTCTGCCAGCACTAGAGTGGCTGAAAGAAGCTCACTCTGGTCTTTCCAGCAGGGACTCTCAGGTAGGCACTTCCCGAGGTTGGCCTTAGGAATTGACCCTCCAGCTGTGGCTGTCACAGAGCGAACCCATGCCTACAGGCACCGTGTGAAGGAGAGGGTTGGTCACCTGAAAAGTAATGCTACGTACACCCAGCAACACTTCCTATAGGAAATGGCCAGCCTCTGCGTGCCCACTGGGCACAAGCCCTCGGTTTCTCTTTGTGCTGCTAGTATAGCTCCAGGCAGTAGGAGAAACATCAGGGCCTTGGGAGTCTCCACACCTCCCGAATTATTGGCTGGATACCAAGTAAAAAGGAAAAAAAAAAGAAATTATTTGTGTCTTTCCATGCCACTCTCCTAGTTTGATCAGTCTTTTCTCCCAAAACTTTCTCAATATTTGCACGGCAAATTAAGAAATAATTATCAAGACGTTGAGCAGTTAAACACTGTTCTGTCCTTTAATGTCTGGAGACAAAGGTTTTAATTATTCATTGTCATTTTATGGATAAATTCTTAATGTATCATCATTAGCTAACAATTTTCAAAGGAAATACATTAATGAGGTCTAAGAAAATGTGGGAGTTTTTACCTTAATTAGCTGGTTCATAGATCAGAGTAATTAGATTCCAACAGACTTTAGGTATAATCTAAAAGTAATTACCACAGATGCCAGCTGCTAAAATATGAAGTTAATTGTCATCCAGGAAAGTTTGGGAAAAAAATTCAACCTTTTTGGTGGTTAGCTTAGATTTAACCCAAGGTGCACTTTGAGAAAAAAAGAGCCATTAGTACAAATAGGAAAAACAAACTTAGAAATTGTGAACTGCTGCACTTGAGGGAATAGTTGTAACCCATTTTTTAAAGCATACATCTCCTTCCCTGAATTTATTATAATATTAGGAAATACTTTAGTATTTTGAAAAAGAAGCATTGGTCTCAATACAGCATCAGGCATTTATGTACTTCAGAGAGTCTGTGATAATCCAGCATGCCAACTAGCCAGTCAAAGGCTTTGGAAACTGGCCAGCAATTGCGCTTTGGAGGTTGATGCAGGTATAAAAGTTTAAGCGAAACACAGGATGGTGGATTCTTACAAGTGTAGTAGATCCAGACATTATGTAACGGAAAAGATCCATGTTAGTATCGGAAATCAAGCAGAGTGAAAAGTATGAAGAGATTATATCACAGGTGTGGTAGGATGTCTCTGGAGAAGGATGGGGGAGCACTTGAGGAGCGTCCTTGCTAGTTAGAGTCAGCAAAAACTGACAACTACAAAAGTAGGGGTTTGCCCAGCAACAAGGACTCACAAAGCAGAAACAGTTTTCTTACTCAGTATTAGTCTGAGGTATTCAGTCCTGTTCTCATGCCTTTTACAGGCAGAATATTTTTACTGAGGACGGCTGGGCATTAAGCAGGGCCGATTTTTGTTTGACAGAGGTGCTGTTAGAGGAAACCACAAACACGACCGCCTGCAGCTCCAGAAAGCCAGGAAGTTAAACTTTGGTACCCTCTTGCAAACAGCGAGCCTAAGGAGATTGAAACAAACAGTATTTGGGAGGGAAGGAGGAAAAGATAGAAATGGATATAGAATAATAAAAGATCTTAGGACAATAAAAATCCACCAGGAAAGCGTTTGACCTTCCTCAGAGCTTGGGCAATAGTGCCAAACCCTGCTCCCCTCCCACAGCTCTGCAGGGCTAATGGGGAATCATCACCTTCCTCCCCTGAGTCTACTCAGGTCATTTTAAGCAGGTCAGCTTCTTATTCCTTTAAGATGAGAAGTTTTCAGTACCTTTCCTAGAGGAAAGTACCTTTCTGAGGAATGGTCGTGAGAATCTTGTCCTAGTCTATATGTTTGCAATTGAGACCACAGCCACATTCTCCTAAACTGTCACATGATAGATATATGTAAATGCTGATCTCCTAATCAATCTCCCTTATTGTTCCATAAGCGGAATGGCACAGTTCCCTTTTTCCAAGAAAAGTACCTATTTTCAAGATTAGGCTTGATGAGGCTCTGAGCAACGTGATCTGGTTAAAGACGTTCCTGCACGCTGCATGGCGGGTTGGACTAGATAACCTTTAAAGGTCCCTTCTAACCCAACACATTCTAGGATTCTGTGATTCACAGAGCTATAAGCAGGAATCAGCAGTTACTTCTTCAGCTTTCTTAGGTGTCGATGCACAGAGCTTAAAGGGCCTATGTGCAAAGAAGGTGTTAGCAAAAATAGAGAAAAACATGGGGTTTTGTGAAGCAGGAATTAGATTCTTGGGTTTTCCCTTCCCTATAATCCCTAATCTGTGCAGAATTACTTGAGATCTCTTCCTTTCCAGCCTATGCTCTCCAATGCATAATAAAGTGCTTTTTGCTACAGCTGTCTGTTACGGAGGGAGAACAAAGATATTCTTGCCCAGGGCAGCCTTTAATCTGGAGTCTAGGAGGTTCTGTTGGGAAGTAGAAGATGTAGATTTGGACCCTCCCAAGCAGAAAACAAAACTAAACCTAGTATAAGTACTTTAACTGTTGGTGCACTATATAAAGGATCTACATTTCTCGAAACAAACTGCTCATCTATGTTTTCAGACCAGGACATGCTGCCTGCCTTTCCTTGGCAGGGTGTTGTGAGCTGTGGGCCTCTAGTTAGCACTACTGAAAGCAGTGAAATTCAAAATTATATGCTCTTTTTACATTTCTCTTACCTTAACCTCAGTGGCTCCAGTGGGAGTATGTTGTCTTTTTCTCATCATATGTTAAGCCTTCATATAGAGAGTGCAAAGAGGTGGCCCCAGAAAAAGATCTGAACTTCAGTTTAATTTCTGAAGAAAAATCCCAGCTTGATACCACCTCTCTCACTGCCATTTCATTTTTGCAGCAATGCTAGACATCAGAGCCCTTGCTCTGATGCTCTGTTAAAGTTTGGAGTGCTTACAGCCCATATCCACAGAGGCATTTGGGCTCCTAACACCAGATAGGACATTTTTTATATGATTTGAGAATTTGAATATGATTGGAGATCAGAATATATATTCATTTTTGACCTAATCTCCTGTGCTACAGATGAGAAAAAATGGGCCACAAAGTGTCTTAAGAGCAACTTCTGTGGTGTGAAGCACAGCAGTGCCTCAGGCAGGGGCTGGTAAGGATCTCTAGGAGAGGTCAGAGGATGCAGACTTGCCAGACTGCACCGTCTGGAAAGGGCTGTTCCAGCTGGGAAACACAGACAGTCACTCAAAATGGGATTCAGAGGACAAGGAATGGAGACAGGATTCCATAAAGTTTTGTTACAAGGCATTTATAACTGCTTAATATGACTCAATTTAGGTAACATGTTTATCTAGAAAAAACCCATTAATTTTTTAAATGTTTTTAAATTGATTCATGCCCAACCAAACTCTCCAGAACACAAAATGCAATGAAATAAAATCCT